GGCGGAGACGACGGCCAACAGGAATCTGGACGTCGAAGAGATGCGACAACAGAAACAACTCCTCATTCGAGGTATACATACATCTCTCTCGCTCTCTCTCTCTCTCTCTCTCTCTCTGACATTAGTTGTGTAACTTGTGTTACAGTGAACGGCATATAAGAAGATAAATATTACTTTCCTTTGTTGTCATAAATTTAGAAATAAATAAAACGGGATTTTGTTGTCGAAATCCTATTTTGTGTAATATTTATTTTTACAAAAATAACAAAAAACTGCTAAATTGACAGCAACTCCAATGTCCGACATATAAACACCAATCTTTTTTTGTTGCCTTTAAATTTCATAATTTATTATAGTTTTTTCAATTTAGAAAATTCAACTTTAAACCCGAAAACATTATTTGAAGCAATTTTTTGTACTCTTTATTATTCAATATAAAACCATTAATTCATTGGCGAGACTTTTGATGTCATATTGTTATAATGTTATTAAAATTTATTAATTTATTAACATATTCTATGACACAAATTTTCATACAATAAAACTTTAACTTTAATATATTTCAATTATAATTGAATATAATATACAATAATTGCTTTATTATATAGTCTTTTGAATTCAATGGCAATCACGAGAACCCAACAGATAAGTAAATTTTTTTGATAAAACTTATTTATACCCCAAACACATGAATCACATGTTTAGGAAATTTTTCAAATATTCTTCACTCAATAAGAGATAGTGTTATGACTTGAATGTTAGACTCTTTTCTTAACTTTCATCAATAAATTCACATTTTTTTTGATTCGATACAAAAATAGACGAATTTCTAGTGTCGAGTGAATTGAGTAGAAAAACAGAAAATTTTGAGAAATTGATTGCTTGCGAGGGAACGGTATTCACGGAGAAAGAAAGGGATGATTCGTGAGATCACTGTTTGAGATCACAGAATATATTAGATATAAGAGAGAGAGAGAGAGAGAGAGAGAGAGAGAAGTCTCACTAAAACTCAATCTGAATAGTGTTTGCATTGGAATTCAAAAATGCTATGAATAATAGGGAATGGAGTTTGTGTTCAACACATTCACGAGTTTTTTTTGTAAAAAGTTATATAAATTCTGTAAATACAGTAATATGTTAATCGACTCACAAAACAAATAAACTTCTCACAGACTTTGCCAAAATAAATAAAGTATTAATTGACTTTTCTAATTGCTTTTCAATAATTTTCTAAACTTAACAAAAAGCTTAATTAATTGAATTACTTTATAATAAACTAAATTTCTAGAAAAAATTAAGCTTTTTAAATTATGTAAATGCCAGCAACTATTATAAAAGTTTGGTAACAACTCATACACCCATTAATCTCAATAATTTCTTAAAAGTCTAATCATAAATTCAAACCATTGTTTTAACAATAATAAATAAAATAATTTATTTGATCAAGGCCCTAATGAGTGACTAGACCCTGATTACTTGTCACAAGTCTAGCAGAATATCGGCGATTAGTGAATGTGAGTGAATGTCAAACATAGCGCCACTCATTGGCACACATTTGCATGACTTGTGAAACGATAACAACAATCAAAACAATACTAAAACTGATTGTAAAGAGTGTTTCAATGAGTCATTCATTCACTCATTACTAGTGATTATCAGTCACTTGAGTGTCATAACAATTGTCTCCTAATCTGATCCACAAACACATCAAACATAAGACTTGTGTCCAAAATGTCGACCATCTCTTCGGATCAATGGTTTGAAAACACAATTCAATTGAATTATCATTAAATGATTGTCTCTTTTGGTGACCAAAGGCTCAGAGATCACGACTCTATCGACGAAATGGCAAATGAGTTGATGTCTAAAATCAATCAAAGAAATCAGTTCCCGA